ATCTCTAGGATCGTTAATAAACGGCAAAAGTGTAAAATTATGGAACATGTAAAAAACGGTTTTTTGTTTTTTTACAATAACTTTTTTTGTAAGCGGTACAGAAAAAAATCCTTCCTCGGTGCAAGACTCGACACCATAACGAACCAAATAGCGAAAAAAGTAGAACAATAGCTCTTAAGATAAAGAACTAGTAGCGTCGCAAAACGTGAGGACGGACGGACGGACGGACGGACGGACAAAGTGGCCACAATAGCGCATTTTTTTATTTGTGTGGAAATGCGCTAAAAAACGCGTTGAATATAGCATTCTCAGGGCCAAGAAAGATTTAAATTTGTTCATGTACATATTATACAACGCGAACGTAAAAGCCCAATATTATTATTCATATTATTCAGAAATCCAAAGATAAATTCTAAAAGTTACACAGACCTTAGTCTTTAAAAGAATTGTTAATTATAAGTAATTAGGTGGTAGCTAATAACCGAAACTCATTTCGAGGAATTATTTTTTTTTATGTTTCAATTTCATTTGAATCAGAGTGCTGTAAATTGTTATAAACATTATCATTGAATAAGGAATCTCAATATTATATACTGCCACGTATACGCTTCAGAACTTTCGCTAATGGCAGAATCGTCATATGGACATTGTTTAATGAATGCCTGTATTTAAATTATTTTACAATCCGTATCAGTTGTTATTGCCTACACGGAAGTCTGTGCTATCACCGTAGATCCCAATACGATGAGTAATAATGACGTCTTAAATACTTGTAAAGAGGAAGATTTAAATGAAGATAGTATAAGCATACAAAATGGTTTGGAAATGATTCGAGAGTGGTTAAGAAAACAACCACACCTGAATGTCAGAGATGGTAAGTTTTTCCAAAGTGTCCGAGTTCCACAAATTCTTGTTACAGATGACGAATCGTTGTTAATATTTCTAAGAAGTTCAAAATATAGTATCCAACGTACTAAAGAAAAACTCGACAATTATTACTCCATGATCACCTTGCTTCCAGAGATGTTTGACGACCGAGACCCATTCGCGTCTGATATTCAAACGCTTTTAAATGTAGGGTAAGTTACGAGTATACACTGAGGAACTCCTACGTCTCGACTCGAAAAGTCCAAATCCACACCCTTATTTCTGGGTTGAATTGTGCACGTATCTTGAAAGGTTTAAAATTTAATGTTACAAAGAAATGTAACACACTGGAGAACTTTTAAATAACAGAACAGATTTGTAGTAGTTCGAGGCCACAATTTATGCAGTGAATGGAGAGTGGATTAGAGACTCTCACTGAAAAGAATATCTCCAAATGAAAAATTTTGATGGCAATCTTTGCAAATCATCATTCCCGTCTTGTGGGAAATTGTGCGAATTTGTCTACTACGGTAATCATAAGGATTTGCGCAAAATATGTAGTTTACTATAGGGCGGCGATATGCCAATACGTGCTATTTAAATTGCTTACACTCACCTATGCCTTGGTCTGGTACATTTAATGATAAAATTGTACGTATGGGTTCCCTTAAACGTAGATATCTCTAAGTGATAAGTCGTAATACATTTTCATTTATTATTATTGAAGAACTATGGTTCCACTGCCAAATACCTTGGGTAAATGTGGACCCAGAATTATTTTCTACGGGTGTGGTTATGATCCCGTTCTTGTACCGTACACCACCATTATGAAAGTGTGTCTAATGATGTACGAGATTTTAATGGCCGAGGATCTTAATACTGTTGCATTCGGTATTTACTTGCTATTCGACTTAAAAAGATTTTCGCTAAAATATGTCTTACAATTAACTCCGACTATTCTGACTCAGCACGTCTACTGTACCGAAACAGGATACCCTCTGAGACTCAAAGGTATACAGATCGACAATTGTCCACCAGCTATGGACGTTATAATTAAAATAGCGAACGCTTGTTTAAAGGGTAAAGTTAGTAACAGGGTAAGCACAATTTACAAATTCATTTACAAATAATGTTATGTATGGTTCCTTTTCAGTTCCATGTCTACAGGGAGGATAGCAATTTACAAAAGGAAATTCCGCTTGAAATGCTGCCCATAGAGCATGGTGGAAAAAATGGATCAATTAAAGAGCTGGGAGGTTAGTATTCAACTTCAAGAAGCTCTGCGTTAGGTCCATGTTTCAGCAATTTGGAAAAAGAAAATGGAATCCTATAGAGAGTGGTTTCGAGAAAACGCTAAATACAAAACTAATGAAAATCTTCGACCCGGTCCACCAAAAACCAGTGACAGTGAGCTTGGAATCGATGGATCGTTTAGAAAATTAGCAGTTGATTAATTAAGTTTTTTTGAATTTTCAGTTTGAATTAGATCAAATATATTGTATGTTAATAGTTTAGGTAGATTTATTCCCACTCCAAAAAGTGAGGGTACTGCAGCAGTAGATACCAGACAACGCTAAGTACAAATCTAATGAAACCTCCGCCCTAAAAAAAACAAGTACCGATGAGCTTGGACTCAGTGTTACCATTTAAGAAATTGGGGATTGATTAATTTAAATGTCCCATATCCATACTTGTCAAACTGTTATGATGCTGTGTTCAAAGGAGGTGTGTGCAAACAAAATGATTTTCTTAGTCTGGCAACTTAAAGTAGCCCATCTGATCTCTATTTCCCTTCATTTTGTAGTCAAACTTAGATGAAATGAAAGTTGATGTATACTCTATGCAGTCTTTCCAATAGTGAAATTAAATTGTACTTTCAAAGGATTAGTTTTCAAGATATATCCATTATCCAGTTCTTCGTAACCACACAAGAATGTTGCGGATTGTAACGAGTGGTCGCTTTAGAATCAGAAATAAAGGTAATTTTTCGAATTTATATTTTGGTACGCACATTTGCACATGTACCGCTCAATAGTGTACTTCAACAAGATATGTGAGGCGATAACGAGCCATATCAAGAAACGTATTGCAGCAAGCGAGCGATCTCAAACCTTATTATGAAATCTTCCGTGGGTAGTAAGCTCCTTATGTCTATTTTGCAACAGTGGAATAAAGAAGCACGCAAACTGTTCAAACTACTAATGAAGTTCGTAATTTAAGGTTGATTATTTGAATCATTTTGGTGTATTGTTTCCATTAATTTCTACGATAGGCTTGCTGCCTTCCACTCTAAGATAGTTTTAGTTAGTTATCGTTTAGAATTTAACATTTCGGTCAGTAACATCACAACAAAATTGTATCCTAGTTTTTCGGCGAGTTTAAGATTAAAGGATTAATAATTTTTACTGAGATAGCTGGCAAGTAAATGAATAATACAGCATGCGGTCCCCAAAAAAAATTCATGGTTACAAAAAAGCTCGCGATTTCCAAAAATTCAATATTATCAAAAGAAATTCGCGATTATGGAAAAGGCTTGCGATTATGTACTTCAAAAAACTAATCAAACTTCGAGCTGAACTTCGAGAATACGACTTGCTCTGGTGGGCTTCGTGGTGCAGCATTCTTATGCTAGCCGTTCGTCGTTCATCTAATCGCTGTAGCTGCCACGCGGGCGGCTTAATATTATCAGTAAGTATGTACAGTCATTGACCGGACTAATGGCCTTCGAGTACAACAGTACATTAATTGCAGGAACGCAATCACTAACTATTTACTTTCTCTACTTTGTTAATGAAAATCCCCGAAGCAATAGTATGCGTTCTTGTCATTATTCTTCTACTTTAATTTCGATTGATATATTCTGTGTACAAAAGCAGCTTACTTATGCTACATTAATCTAGATCCATCTTTCTAAAAGAACCCTCCAAGCCGAAAATTTCAGAACAGGTTTTTGAAGTACCTGGTCGTAATCGTTCGTCAATCTTGCAATTTTCGTCTTTAAGGAACCAATCTCGGTAACTTTCCACCTTATTCTTCCAAAAAACTACAACAAACCAAAACCTGCTTAACGCGCAAGTTTTCTGCATATTGTTACCCGTTAGATCCTTTATAGAACCATTGCAACCTCCAAACTCGTGAGGTAATAGATCTTGTGGAACTTTCTTAAATAACTCCTCGAAGTTGCCCTCACTATATAATGCCATCTAAGAAATTTCTGTAAAATGGCAAACTGGTTTCACACCTACGCCTACCCTTTGCTGTAGTTTCTGTGAACCGAAAATCCCACTAACAACAGCGTTGTCGTCCTCCCGTAGCAGTATATCCTCGATCATTTAACCTAGCTTACTAAGGTTGACCACCGTCATTAGATTGGGATTAAGATTGTCGTTGATCCGAAGGAGTATTATTCTGGGGCCATTTTCGTTTGCCACTTTGGGTAGCGGAAGAAAGAAACCTGCGTTTAAGATGGCCTGCAATTCAGGCAGTAAAGGGTCTCTGTTTGTGAACGCTTCTGGTGCCATCGTTCGGATTGTAAAGTATCTATCCAACCTTTCTTTTGTGCGTTCTAAACTGAATTTGCTGCATCGAAGGAACGAAACCAGTAACTGGTCACCTAGAAAGCGTGTTAAATTGAATTCAGACGAGAATTCACTTCGTTCAATTCTTTCTCGGCAATCTGTTGCAGTTCTTGTGGAAGTGGGCGCACTTTTGTTGTAGGAACCGTAGTTTCCACCTTCATGATGGCAAAATTTGTAGACTGGTTAAAATCAAGAGAATCGCGATATTTAAACCGTTAATGATCTAATTTAAATGTTTAAAGTATGAATTCATTTGCGTACTCATGTTATTAACTTGCGTATGCAGTAAGTTTATGGATTTTTCATGTAATGCTAACAATTACACTGGTAGTTCTGGTTCGCGTATGATGAAAAAAATTATTTAATTATACAAAATCATAATTTTGGCAACACATTTTTTTTCTCACACATTGATGTTTACTACATACCGTCTGCAATCGGCGATGAAATGGTATGGATCATCATCTTCATTTTCCTACTTTTATTTCGTTCGACATATTCTCATTGCAAAAGTGACGTCTGTCTACTTCCTTTACAAAGCCATATTGCATCCTCAAGCTCCTGCGGTAATAGATCCTTTGGAATTTTCTTAAATAACTCCTCAAACTTGTTTTCACTATATAATCCCATCTAAGAAAGCTAGGTATATGTCTGGTTTCACACCTTATACCTACCTACCCTTTGCTTTAGTTTCTCTGAACCGAAAACTTTCAAAATGTTGTAAAGAGCTTCGAAAATTTATAGAAAGCGTCTCTCCCTTCATTCTAAAAGGAAATCCCCTTTCTTCAAATACCGAGTATCATTGCGAACTGTATGGAGTCAACTGAATGGCGTATTTGCTCCAGAATAAAATAAAACTCTCGAATTCCAAACATAGTTCAAGATTATCAAAATAAACTCGCGATTACCGAAAAGGCTTGCGATTACTCAAAAAAATTAAACAACCGAAGTAGGCAATTACTGATCATATTCTTTCTTTAGTTTGTAAAACGAAATCGCCGAGGGAACACTGCGCATTCTTATAATTATTCTGCTACCATAATTTCGTTTAATAATGATAATGCCTTTATAGGTATGATGAGACTAATAAGACAAACAATTAAAAGTAGAGGCGGAATTCAAATAAGCTGCTCTTCCACTGAACCTCTATCGTAGTATAAATTATCTAAGGTTGCGCAACGTGAACTAACATTAACAATAAAAATTACTTAATAAGAAAACAAGTGAATCTATTGGTTAAAACAAATTGCCTAAGGCTCATTTTAAGCTGCATTATTTTGAAATTCGAACAGAACCTTCCATAGTTGTTTCTTGATGTGTTGATCACCAAGACACCTGTTATTCAAGAAAACATTTCATTCCAAAGTGTAACGATATTATGCGGAAATGAACGCTTGAGCACCTTTGAAATATTCTTTGTACAAAGTTAAAATTATAACATTAATCTAGATCTAGCTTTCTAAAAGACCCCTCCAAGCCGAAAACTTCAGAACAGGTTTTTGGAGTACCTGGTCGTAATCGTTCGTCAATCTTACAATGTTCGTCCTTAAGGAACCAATCTCGGCAACTTTCCACCTTATCCTTCCAAAATACTACAACAAACCAATACCAGTTTATCGGTCATTTTTTTGCATATTATTACCCGTCAGATCCTTTACAGAGCCATTACAACCTCCAAACTCCTGCGGTAATAAGTCCTTTGGAATTTTCTTAAATAACTCCTCAATGTTGCTCTCACTGTATAATCCCATCTAGGAAAGGTATGTAAAATGATGACCTGGTTTTACATCTATACATTACCCTTTGTTTTAACTTGTCTGAGCAGAAAACTTTAAAAATATTGTAACAAGCTTCGAAAATTTGCGGAACGTGTGAGTAGTACGCTCCCTTCATTCTAAAAGGAAATCCCTTTTCTTCAATCACTGAGTATCGTTGTAAACTGGCTGGAGTCAACTGAATGGCGTATTTGGACGGACAATCCTTACAATAACTCCAGAACACAACACCACTAACGACAGCATTGTCGTCCTCCCGTAGCAGTATATCCAAGATCATATAACTTAGCTTAGCAATGTTGACCATCGTCATTAGATTGGGATCCAGATTGTTGCTGTACCGAAGGACGATTATTCTGTGGTTATTTTCTTTTGCCACATTGGGTAGTGGAAGAATGAAACCTGCTTCTAAGATAGCTTGCAGTTCGGGTAGTAAGGGGTCTCTGTTTGTGAACACTTCTGGTGCCATCGTTCGTATTGTAAAGTATCTATCCAATCTTTCTTTTGTGCGTTCTAAACTAAATTTGCTGCATCGAAGGAACGAAACCAGCAACTGGTCACCTAGAAAGCGTGTTAAATTCAATGCAAGTGAAGACATTTGGGTTACCGATATCAAAGTTGAAATGCGGTTGCTTATTAATCCAATCTCTTATTTGCTGAATGTCGCTAGTAAGACGAGAATTCACTTCGTTCAATTCTTTCTCGGCAATCTGTTGCAATTCTTGTGAAAGTGAGCGCACTTTTGTTGTAGGTAACGTAGTTTCCACTTTCATGGCGGTAAAATTGGTAAACTGACAAAAATTAAAAGAGATGCGATATTTAACATGTAAATAAACTACTTTAAATTTGTAAATTTTGGGAATAAATGTTAGCATAATTATATACATCTTATTAATCTGCCTATTTAATAAGTTAATTAATGTACATAATCCCATATTACTCTGCCATTTCTGCTTCGACTATGATGAAAACATCTTTTCATTACACAATTATAATTCTGACAATTACATTTTTTTTCTCGCACATTTCATGAATACAATATTAAACTACTGACTAAAATGCTCCGCACGGTAATTTACATACTTAATTCGCAATTGATGCAACCACCGAAGATATTGGAAATGATAACCGTATAACGTCACATGTAAAACACAGATAACCCTTTTTCAATCGGAATACTTGCTCCACTCGCTGGGTAGCCCGCTCGTGTCGCAAATGTCACGCTTCAGAATAATAAGCATCGTAACATGCTCCTAATACTATCAAAGTGTTATCTGGAAAACTTCTTACCCGCACTAATGAGCACTACAACAAGAGGGTATGTTGGGTGCATTGAACATAATATGACAGTACTACCACTGTATATACACTGTATATGGAGTATGTTATAGTTTCCATGTCCATGGTACTTGAAAATGTTTTAGTACACAATAAATCACATTTTCTTAAAGAACTATTAATAATAAAAGTAAATAAGTAACATAAAGTAAATATTGTGCAAAGTTAAATAGTCACAAACTCACTCTTGCATAAAATTTCCAGTGAAACAGTCCTCGGAAATATAAGTGGAGTGCTCTCCACATATAAAATTGTTGTTTGATCTTCACCGATAATTTCAAGAATTCTCCCACTCAATGTTTTTGGAATGTTCTTTAGCTGACTCCTCATTCTGAGATGGCCTTCCACTAATAGAAATGACAGTTGCCGTAGAAATTTCCTCCGAGTTATCTGGATTTCCGGATTGTTTAGAAAATACAATACCGTAGAGTTTAGGGCGGTAACATTCAGTACGGGGTAAAACACTACCATCGTGTTTCGAACACAATCATGCGCGGAACACAGCTTATCCACCGAATATACACCCCTTTTGGTTGCCTTGTAATCTAAAACCATTTCTGTTTTTTTTCCGTTAGGATCTAAAGCGTCATCATGGTGCAAACTTGACAGCAATACTACATTTTTGTTTTTTTAGGAACATAGGATACGATCGTGATATTGTTCTAGAATCCAAAAAGACCAGATCCAATTGGTCTATTTTTGGGACAGGTAATCTCTATAGGCAGTTCGCGTTTATTTTTGCGAATAGTACTCGAAATTGTATTCATCGAGAAGAATTTTTACGAGCTCTGTCCCAGAAAACCAATTATCACAGGTCCGGAAAATGGAAAATGCGGTCAAGCTACTCGTCTTAATTATTTTTTGTTCTATATCTTCAAGGCAAGTATTATCATAGTTAATTTTCCTTTTGTCATTCCGAAATGGACCCCCAGCTAATTCATCAGGTTGAAAGTTTATGCATTAGTAACTTGTTTTTAGGTACTTTCAATTTGGGCTTTTCTTCAATTAATTTTATTATTGTTTCACTCATTCATTATCAATCATTAATACTTCGAGATTTTCGCCATTGGGAGTAAATCCTCGCAATTACCGAGAAGGCTTGCGATTACTTGAAAAAAATACTCAAACTTTGACCTGAACTTTGAGACCTTTGAGGCTACTACCGGCCCTGGTGGGTTACTTGATGTGCTTAATATTCGCAGTATGTACCGTCCTTGACTTTAGAGCACATAAACTGCAGGTAGGCAATCACTATAATCATATCCATTCCTTATTTGCTAAACGAAAATCGCTGTAGGAATATTATGCATCTTTACATTCGGTAACGGAAAAAACCCCGGAATAAAAACCCACGAAAAGAAAACCCCCCGGAAAGAAAACCTCCCGGGAAAAAAACCCCCGGAAAAAAACCCACGGAAAGAAAGACCCCCTGGTAAAAAAAACCGGAAGAAAAACCACAGGGAGAAAAAGGAAATATCGCCCGAGAGCTAAAGTTGCATATTGCTTACTGAAACAGGAATATCAAACAGAACTCAGTTGAGATATTCTATTAACAAATTTTCACAAAATACGTAATTGCATAATATCCTAAAACTACCATTAACCCTAACTAAACCAAATATTATGACTTATAGCTTCTAAGAAGTTTACCACATACCTTTGTCCGGCGCTGTATTCTTTGCAGATATTTTTTAGTCTACTTTGCAGCAGTACATATTTTGCTTTCCTCCTTTTTGGGATTAATCGACCTAAATGTTGTTGGTGCAATTTTGTTCTATCGGCAGCTATCTCTTGACGCATCTTGATAATCAAAACCTACACAGTCGGATGGGTTTGGTCCACTAAATTTGCGAATCGGTGATTCCACCTCTCGGTGTGGTTGTTTGTTCTTTCTCCGTCTTCAACGTAATATCGTGGACGTTCCATGTTTCAGGAGGAAAAATTGGCGGAATATTTCGTAACCGCACTGGAACATTGTTGTTGCCCCCACCTATCGTTCTGTATGTTTCGGTTACGTATGTATTATTGAAGTAAACTAGTAGAGATCCTCGGCACCTTGGGGAACATTTTCTTGTAGATACATCAGACTTGGAATAGCTTATACTATAGGTATATATTTGCCTTGTACAATCGCCCTAAGATGTATGGAGATTTAAAAAAGGGGGTTTTCATTCCAGGGTTTTTTTTCCGGGAGGTTTTCTTTCCGTGGGTTTTTATTCCGGGGGTTTTTATTCCGGGTTTTTTTTCACGTGCTTTTGTCCTAGACCTAACATTATTCTTTCACTTTAATTTCGTTTGTTACATTCTTTTATAAAAGCGATGTTTGTTTTTTTACTGATTTTACAGCAAAGTGATACTAATATTAATCTAGATCCAGCTTTCTAAAAGAACCCTCCAAGCCGAACACTTCAGATGAGGTTTTTCGAGTACCTGGTCGTAATCGTTCGTCAATCTTACAATTTTCGTCCTTAAGGAACCAATCTCGGTAACTTTCCACCTTATCCTTCCAGAAAACTACAACAAACCAATACCAGCTTAACGTTTTGCAGTTTTCTGCATAATGTTACCTGTCAGATCCTTTACAGAGCCATTACAACCTCCAAACTCCTCCGGTAACAGATCCTTTGGAATTTTCTTAAATAACTCCTCAAAGTTGCTCTCACTGTATAATCCCATCTAAGAAATTTCTGTAAAATGGCGAATTGCTTTCACACCAATACCTACCCTTTGTTTTAGCTTCTCTGATCCGAAAATTTTCAAAAGATTGTAAAGAGCTTCGAAAATTTGCGGAAGGTGTGAGTAGTACGCCCCCTTCATTCTAAACGGAAATCCCTTTTCTTCAATCACCGTGTGTCGTTGTAAATTGGATGGAGTCAACTGAACGGCGTATTTTGACGAAAAATTCTTACAATAGCCCCAGAATAAGATACCACTAACAACAGCGTTGTCGTCCTCCCGTAGCAGTATATCCTGGATCATATAACTTAGCTTAGTAATGTTGACAATCGTCATTAGATTGGGATTAAGATTGTCGCTGAACCGAAGGACGATTATTCTGGGGCCATATTCATTTGCCACCTTGGGTAGTGGAAGAATGCATCCCGCTTCTAAGATAGCTTGCATTTCAGGTAGTAAGGGGTCTCTGTTTGTGAAGGCTTCTGGTGCCATCGTTCGTATTGTAAAGTATCTATCCAACCTTTCTTTTGCGCGCTCTAAACTGAATTTGCTGCATCGAAGGAACGAAACCAGCAACTGGTCACCTAGAAAGCGGGTTAGATCGAATACAAGCGAATACTTATATGGTTACCGATTTCAAAGTTGAAGTGTGGCTGCTTATTGATCCAATCTCTTATTTGCTGAATGTCGCTTGTAAGACGGGAACTCACTTCGTTTAATTCATTCTCAGCAATTCGCTGCAACTCTTGTGGAAGTGGGCGCACTTCTTTTATCGGTACTGATGTTTCCACCTTCATGACGACAAAATTTGTAAACTAATAAAAGCGATGCAACATTTAAAACGTACACAAACTTCTTTAAATGTGTAACGTTTGGAATAAATTTGCGTGTATTCACTTGTAGGTAAGAAGTTAATGGCTTGTTCGTGTAATCCTAACAATCACACTGCCATTTTTTGTGTTCAAATTTTTTTCTCGCATATTAATGGCTCATTTACTTGTACAAATCTACAGAACTAAAGCATTTTCACCCTGATTCTTAATGTGGTTTTTGCATTTGTATAGAAGCATTAAAATTATACCAGAATAAGATCAAATCTAGATGGTAATTTGCTAAAGAATGTAGACTCAATTAGGGAACATCTTACAAACCAAAGGGATAGAGCCATACTTCCATTCTGATTGAATGGGTCAACATTTTGTTGCTCTATTTTCGTGTTTTTAAAAGTCTGATTCAGACTGAAAATATTACTAGAATCATTGAATATTCAGTAACAATATTAATACTATGCGATCAAAAAAGAGTTGCTGTCGAGTCACCTTTGGAATTTTTGTCTACATGGGAAAAATGCGACTCGACAGCAACTCATTTTTGATCGCCCGTTAAATTCATTTTATACTTTTATGTATGGTGGGTTGCCTAATGTGCTTTTCTTTCACATTTGGTTAGAATGAGCTTGAGAATAAAAAAAAAACAACAAATGGTAACAGGACGGAAAGCGGCCATGTTACAACGCGATATTGTTCATAACTACCTTTGTGCACCAGGAGCTCTGGTCACGGTTTTGATCCAAATAAAATTGGCCCTTCCTTCAGGTTTGCTCTGCACAGATCGGCTATTTTGTGTGTTGGCATGGAAAAACCACTTGAGCTTGGGCAAGTCACCTCTACCCCTTGCAGACGGCTGAGACTGGCCGGCTGAGCTCAAGATCCCCAAACCGCCAGAAGTAGGCAGATTGAGGTCTGGCGCAGCGAACACTCCGCCACCCCACGGCCTCACTGAACCCACTGCCACCGCACGGCGTTAAGACTACTAGTGAACCTTTTTATTTAGTCATATAGATATAGTGGCTTAGCAGTGTAAGCTACAACGCAATAGATACTGCACCTTGCTCGTGTTGTGCATCGCCCCGTCCTCACCTGCTCACTTGGAGCTCCACCTGGTAACAATTTAAACCCGTTTCTTCGATGTAGATTTGAAATTGGTCCTACCACAACTTTTTGCACGGACCGATTACAGAATCCTTGCATTGTTATTGCACAGTCCCCCACCCAATCGCATTTGTGATTCCATGCGTCTACTCAATTTCACTATTGGGTAACAGTTGGCATCCAATGTTTTCGGTCTCCAGAAACAACGCAATCCAAGGATCACGCCCTGAACCTTCCACTGAGATATGCCAGCGACAACGAGGAGGGTGGGGACACACCCGTTCTGAACCCGGCATCGTCCACTGGCGCCCATCCAACTCACGATATCAAGACAACCGCTACCGAAAGACGACAAAACTAGCGTCTAGCGTCAGGTTTTGGCGCTTAAAAAGCTGCAAAACGACAAAATCGACCTTCTTTCTTTCAGAGGAGACCTTGGAGGAGACACGCCAAATTTCTCGAAGAGATTTATTTTTTTCTATTTATTTTTATTTTTTTAATTTATTTGATAGTGGACTGAGTGTTAGCTAATTATAGCTACTCTTCCCCATTCAACCCACTATACAACCACATACAGCCATGCCTTACCTGGGATTCGAGCCCAGGACCCTTGTAGCCAAACTTAGAGCTACTAACGTGAAGTCATCTGAGGTACGAAATTCGTTGTAGCTAAAAAGTAGGAAGTAAACCAAACTCGCCCTTAAACACCTTCGCGGTTCCGCGGAAACATGGTGGAGAGGCATCGATCACTTCGAGCCGACATTCAAGGAACTGAAATCGTTACTTTTACAACAATACGATAACACCACATAAGACCGAAACTAAGTACCGAATTCTATCGACTGCATGGCATTCTTACAGCGGAAGTCGAGAATAACCAGGTGTCTCGGATATCAAATTAACGACCACCTGGAATTAGTCGAAAACAAAAACGAAGTCCCGGAGGACGCCATAACATTGAAAGAGTTACTTATGTATTTTCGCAATAAATTGAAATGCTTCAAGCAAGTGATAGACAGAAACCGGAAAACTGGACAACGCGGACCGGACAGCAATAAAGTCAAGAACTTCGTAAGTAATGTTATTCAGAAGAAATCCAAGGTAAGATGCGACTGCAGCACAATTAGGTACCTAGTTGGAGGTAATGAGGATAAGCGATAAAAGGACTCAAAAAGTGCTCCGGAAAGATAAAGTGAAATCGCAGGGAAATACATAGGATGTATGATGTAAACTAAAAATACCTTAAGAAACCAAGAGCAGTTCTAGTAAATCTTTCGGCTTTTAATATACCATTCCACACATTCTACAAACATATTAATACAGAACTACGCAACACTTTAATCTATATTGAGTTTTCTAAACGAACCTTCTACGCCGAAAATGTCCGATCCATTTCTTGGCGCACCGGGCCGCAATGCTTCATTGGTCTTCAATTTTTCGTCGCTCAAAAACCAATCCCTATAACTTTCCACCTTTTGCTTCCAAAACACTACAACGAATAAAATATACAGTTACACTGACCTCAAAGTTTTTTTACCTGTTAGATCTTTCACAGAACTGTTAGATCCTCCGAATTCCTCAGGCAAAAGCTCTTGTGGTATTTTATCATAAAACTTGGCGAAGTTGCTCTCACCAAATATGGCCGACTGAAACATTGCCATTTGTGGAGGCGATCGACTTTACTGATAAGCGCTTACCCTTTCCTGCGTTTTCTTTGGGAATATAACAGTTATAGAGTCATAAAGTACTTGGAATAAGGTCGGAAGATGAGTATGATATGTTCCCCTATGTCTTAATGGATATCCTTTTATTGTAATCATTGAGTATTTGTGTAGATCGGTTGGAGTCATCTGAACAGCGTATTTTGGAGGCATTTTCTTGTAATAAACCCATGCTATGATACCGCTAACGATAGCATTGTCATCTTCTCTTAACAGTATATCCAAAAGCATATAATTCACTTTAAAGAGGTTGGTAAAATTCATTGTATTAGGATCAAGGTTGTCACTATAGCGACAAAGCACTATTCTGCTACCGTCTTCGCCGTGTGCCTTTGGCAGCGGAAGCATAAAGCTGTAATTAGAAGCTTACTTCTAAGATGGTGAATGAAAAATGGCGATACCCTGCATTTAAGATGGCTTGAATTTCCGGTAACAAAGGGTCTCTGTTGGTAAACACCTCGGGTGCCAGCGACCTCATCGTAAAGTAGTAGTCTAATTTTTCCTTTGTGCGTTCTAAACTAAATTTGCTGCATCGAAGGAATGAAATCAGCAGCTGGTCATCTGGAAAAATTCTTAGATCATTGACATCGATATTGGAAATAGCTACCAATCTCAAAACTTAGGTGTGGCTGTTTTTTGAACCAATCTCTTATTTGTTGAAAGTCGGTCTCCAATCGAGAACGAACTTCATTTAGCTCAGCTTCCGCAACTATTTGTAATGCACTTGATAATTGACGCATTTTAGGCGCAGATTTTTTAAGAAATACACCTCCGTTTTTAAAGTACAGGAAACAACTTTTTGGTGATGTGCAAAGCGAGGTTTTGTACTTAATGTTGATAATTAATTTTTAACGTGCCAGTTTTATAATTTTCCTGCAATGTCAAAAGCCTGTGATAAATAACAGGCAACATTAATGTATCTACCTTTGTTTTCAATTGTCCCACATACAAATTATTTTCAGAATATAAGGTAGTGCATTGGATAAAGATTTCGACACTATTTCCGAATCTAATGGGATCAAAGTATACTTTTTTTAGCACATTATCGTAAACCTCAAATAAATAAGTATTTGAAGTATTAAACTACTTTTTTTATGTTAATGATTTAATGAACAAATACATAATCGCACTTAAACTATCTGTCTGACTGACATCCAAATACCTAGATCTCTTTTTAGAGTTTTTCTTCTTGAATTTTTGAATCTTTCGGTTTTTTGGCTACCTATAACTTCGCTATTTGTAGACTTACAAGGTAAGGGCAAATTAATCAGGATAAAGTTCTGCATTCTGCAATTAAGCGACTGTGTACCTCTTACGGTCCCTATAGTAAAAATTAAAAAAAAACCCACCCCCCAACATTTTAATTAATACGTTTTTTTTGTAGTAAAATCAGTTTTTATTTTTTATATCTGGGAAAGGGGGCATGTCAGAACGGAGGCGCCATGGAAAGAAGTTTGGGAACCACTGCTCGACAAAGTTCTCTTCTTCTTTTTGAAAAAAACAGTTAAACAACCTCAACTTTTAAAAATCCGAGTACAACTTCCGATTGTTTTCGTTGCTTATTAGGTATAAAAAAACGACAGTAACCAACTAAATATTTCCAACCACCTAACTTGTAAATTTAATTGATTCGTCGTCGAAATTATTTAATTTTTACTTAAATTTTGGCACAATTGTAAAAAAACCTTGTATGAAACACATTCTAAATGCACACGTCTTCACGTCTAGTGCAAAAAACACGCCCATTTTGCAACTCGGTGCATAAATAGCGAATTTCCACAGATCTTGCGACTTTTCTTTTAGTAGAAATTTGTTGATCGTTTACTACTCATGCCTTCAGTTGCTATGAAAATTATTGTAAGAAAATCATATTATGACGAACTTCGGTAGTAAATCTGCGCACAAATGGCATAAATAATGAAATAAGCATTAGTGGAATAATGACTATAATTTAATTTTCTAAAACAAAATTAAAGCGTACAGTTCCCTAAACGGGAAATAATCGGATTCGGTAGCCGTATCTACGAGAAAGTAAATGCAGGAAAGCGAAACAACATCCCCTCACCCCCTTATAATTAATGAAACAAAAAGTAACAAAAAGCTTACCTTGCAAATAAATAAATTTACGAAAAGGCAAAAAAGTTATAGATACGGTGCCGTAAAATTAATGTAAAAGCAAAAATGAAACGGTATCATTGTAAAATAAATTTAGGTACTCAAAATTACGTTATTTCCAAAACTTAGCTTGCGGAAGTGCAAAAGTCAGAAAGCAAAAGATCTTACATTTCGTTTAAAACTCAAATGCAAAAATATCTCCTCTAAACAACGGCTTTACCTTTTATAAAGTTCGGCTATTTCATGAAGGGATCGCCAGATTTCCCAACCGACACAGAGTATTCAGCAGAGCTGATCGATTTCACAAATATACGGTACTTTGGGTATGAAACTTCAAGGTGAAACATAGGTGCTACGTTACAATAAATCCAGTGTCCCGAGTCTCGGAAACATTTTTGTAAAACTTTGTAAAATAATTTTAGACGGTAATCTTCGTGTGAACAGATTGCATTTATTTTTTGTTTTACATTAATTTTTATTTTCTAATCAATCTAACTGTCATAATTTGGTATAATTATAGTTTATTGGAAAATGGCCATTTCTTTTCTTACTTCTAATTAAGTTAATGATTTGAAATTGAAATGCGGTTAATTCCCAGGAATACTTTACGTTTCGCGCCCACCTTAATTTTGATTTTTCGTTAACAAATTATGTAATAGATAATCCCTGACCGTCGATTCTTTCACAATGGAACTCATGAAACCCCCTTTGATTGCGAAAGAGAAAATTTGATTAGAATGAACACCAAATTCAGAAGGGCCTTCTTGATAATAACACACCTAAAAGGTACACTTTTTTCGACTCCTTTAAGATCACTCATTTAAAATTTTACTCGTAAATAAAAATAAAAAATAAATAAACAGGTTAAATTTACCTTTTACAACAAATCTTGAAGTTATCGAATATATTTGAAAATATACGAGTAGAAGTACGACTAACCTCTTTATTTACAATTTTTCTCTCTTCGACGTGGAAAATTTGAACTTACGCTTAACTTTTTTTTCTCATTAATCTGGGGTGGATATGAGATGTTTATGGGTTGCGTGATTAAAAACCCGGCGGCCTGAAACAACCTCTAATCGATGACTATTTGTTTTGGATTTTTGACCAATCATTGTGAAATACAAACTTGTTCCTGATGATAATTTTGTTGTTGGTCAGTATAATTTTAATCCGAAAAACTTAAATTAATTGAATTAAATATGAGGAAATTTCTTAAGTGTACGCTAATCTCATTGGACCTTCTGAAGGGGTCGACTACCAAATCAAGAATCGTCTCCATCTAGTGCAACCGCTGCTTTTCGGTTAATCTTCGTGCAAATCCCTCCGCTCTCCAGTTACTTAGTAATCTTTTGACGCCTGCTTCATGATGGAATAATAATGGCGGAGATATATGGGATTAATTTTACTTGCTTCACCGGGTTTTCAGGGTTGTCCACGGAGCTTCTGAATCTGCCGATTCAGCTTATTTTTTCCAAATTGCGCTCAATCTGCAACGTTGCATAAGTAACTTAAGACGACCTGTTTGCAACGTGTAATTTAACACCAAAGCCAGACTATCGAGCTACAAAAAATATTTAGAATAAAGTATCAAGTATCAATAATTATGGTATTATGATGACAATCAAGACCTCAACGTAAACCTACCAGGACCACCAAAGAAAAGAAAGCGCTGTTAATATAATCGCGTGGTTCAAGCGTCATTTCACGGCGTTATGGATCTATCAAAGGAGAAGTATCTACAGTTAGTTACAAGAGCCAGTTATTTGAACTATAGGTACTCAATACAATATGATTGTGGAAAAAATATTTAATACTCTTGAGCAACAGCGCTTGCAGTCTTTCGTTCTAGTCTAATGTTAGAAACGTCGCTACCAAACTGGGTACAATACAGACATTTTTGCGGAAAAAAATACGTTATTATATTAGTTACGGCTGGCTGGCTGTTCGGCTGCGATCTCAGCAACAACAGCTAGAGACTTCAAGTTTTTACTAAAAGCTTTCTGTTATAGTGCAGATGTGCATGGTCTAGTGTATTTGGAGTTAGATTACTCGTAAGCTCGATAAGTTAGGAAAATAATGTCAATATGGAGCAGTATACAAATACTGTGTCAAGAAACTTATACGACTTTTGTCAAATATACTGGCACGGCGATATTGAGATCTATGATTTGGCACGAATCTATATACATGTTAATGTAACAATGCCAATTACAACAACTTAGTAGCTATTACATGTGGCACGATGCAGTGCCAGTACACTTTTTTTAAATGACAAATTCTATTTGAATTTTATAAAGAAAGCTTTTAATAAAGGTTTGATTTGTTTTGAACTTTACTAGTTAAAATACTGATCTGTAATACGACAAATACGTTTTAATCATGCATATGTTGATTTACTGTGTACTGCTTGACCTTCATAACTCTTTCAACACCATACCTTTTCTACTATTATGTGAACACCATTAGTGGCATGTGAAACTTGTTAAATGGGACCTACGTAAGGTTACTTATAAACGAAAGTTTTTCCAAAGAAAAATATTTTCGAAAACAATTCTTCGAAGTTAAAAGTTATTCAAAACACAATCCTTCGAAATAAATGTTTCGAAAGATAATTCTCTGAAAAGGAAATGATTGGAGGACAATTTGAAAGATGCTAATGAATTATTTACAGTTGATAGCAAAGCGTCCATTTGAGGTCAGTAGGGTGGTTATATAATTCCACTCGTAATTACATAAGTATTTCTCTCTCAAAATGTCATCATCTTATGCAGTATACCCCACATGAGGTTCACTGCATTTATTTTCGTCCTTTGAGAAAAAGTCATTCTTTATAAGAAGTCATGCCTGTTCTAAAGCTTAAGTGCAACATTAGGTTTTCCTTTAAAATGCGTGTTTTTCTTCCAAAGTTCAAATATTGACAGATAAAGCGGATTATTGACAAATTATAACACAGTGTATAACAGTTTATAACTTTGCTGTGTCTTTGTCCGTCTCTCCGTCCGTACGTCCGTTAGTTAGCACCTCAAAAACGAGTGGACCGATTACGATGAAATTTTACATGTGGATAGACAGGCCATACCCAAGACCTCGTTTACTAAAATTACATAATCAAAAAAATAATTGAGGATCGCATAATTAAAACATTTAATAAAATATCAATTTCTCAAATTATACACCCTGCATAACTTTACATATTTAAAAAAAATGAAATTAATGATAAAAGTGAATTATGGACGAAATAATTTAAACATTGCGAAAGAACATCAACATAAAGTGTAAATTGCCATGTTCTTCATAATAGTAATTGAATTCAATAAACATAATGTCGAGAACATGAAACAATTTATTCATTAGTTTTTTTGCCCCCCTGTCCGTATTGTTTCTCAAGGTTTATGGGAATCCACACTGAATTTTTAATGCATTGTACCTCTGTTACTAATTAGTTGGGATTTTTTTTTAATTATCCAATTTTATATAAAAACATGTAAAAATTTAATTATTAAAATATTTTGAAATATCCCAAATGGACTTCATAAATTCCTATTAACTGAATTGGGCGCAAGCCTGTTGAGGGCCCAGAGGGTAGCGTTGGGCAAAAAAATCGATTAATCGATTATAATCAAACGATAATTGATAATCGGGTTTGATTATTCTATTAAATTAATCGATTAATTAAAGGTTATTTGATTAATCGATTGTTTG